ATATATGACTGGATTTTATGTGGATGCACCAAAAAGTCTTTGCTGAACTCCGGCGCGGTCTTTCTATTATCACTTGGCTGTGAATGTAAATGTCGATAGCCAGACTGTGCAGTGGAGGTAAATCTGACTGCAGCTGATCAGCAAATATTTGGCTCCTCAAATCTCTGCGTTCGTCCGCAGTCTTTGGAGGAGGTGAAGGAAAACTTTCTCGGTAAAATGAATTCTTCTGGAGAACAAGCCAAACAAAGTCATTCGTTTTCCTCCACTCTCCCGTCTTTAGTGTAACAGTACGGATTCTTCTGTGTTCTTCTGGTGCACAGCTGATTCATGTCTGCATGTGTCTGAACAGTCACACACAGCTCAAAACATCTGGAGGACTGAGTGTGAAATGAGACGATTCTCTTCCATCCCTCTGTTTGCAGTGTGAGCTTGTAGAGGTGATCCTTGGTTCACTGACGCTCCTTGTCTGTCATTTTCAGTGAGTCGTCCTCAGACGCAGCCACACTTTCTCGCAGAGTGCTTCTTCAGTGTGTGATACACAACGTTGTCGTCCAAGAAAGACAAGTCGTCGTCGAACGCAATTGGTCGACAGCAGGTGCGGGAGGGCGTGTCCTTGTCCAGCTTCTTGTTGTGCGTGAGGTTGTTCAGGATCTTGTCGTAGTTGGTCTCGGCCTCGACGCAGGGGCCGCTGCAGTACCGAAAGATCAGCTCCTCCTTAGTCTGGTAGCCCAGCCCCAAGTCCGTCACATTGAGATGGACCTCCTTCAGCAAGCAGCCTCGGCTCTGCACCGATATCCTCTCCCGTCCCCTCTCGCCTCGGCCCCCTTTGCCACCCCGGCTGCCCCCTCGCCCCCGACTCCGCCTCCTGTCGCCATGTCCTCTCCCCTCGCCCCTCGCACCGCCCGTGTTTGCTGCTCCTCTCTGTCTCTGCTCCCTCCGGCCCCTGGAGCCGCCGCTGGGATCCGGCGATCTCCGGAGTCGTCCGATGGTAGCCTCGATAAAATCCATTACGTCGTCATACTTCTCTGGATAGAGACCCGCGATGTCATCTAGAAGAAGCAACAGATTCACTTAAAGATTGCAGAATGGCATCAACGCTGTATTTTTGGGACAACCATGTATTCAGTCATTAATTCAAACTTTAAATATAAGTTTAAATATATGATACAACCAGCTTTTTGGGGAAATTTGATTATTTGCTTCACGGCAAAGAAAACACCACTCATCTGCGTGAACAGGCCATTAGCTTAGCTTAGCAGAAAGACTGGAAACGAAGGTAAATGACTAGCCCCGCTCAAAGTACAGGTGGAAAACCATCTGCCTACCAACACTGATTATATGTTATATCTCATTTGTTTAGTCTGAGCAAAAATAAAACGTCTCATCCTTGTTGAATGGAAAGATACTACACAACTATTGATTTTTGCCAAAAAGTGAATTTGCGTTTTTCGTTTTTGCGTCAAAGTACAGAGGCACATATGTGCATTGCATGTAGAGCTACTGCAGATTAACGATGTGCAGTAAAGAATACTGTACGTTGTTGTTGACTCTTCATCCAGCATGTGGACGGTAAAGCGTCCAAACACGTGTGGACACAAACACAGATATTTTCTGAATACAGAAATACTCAGAAATGTGCAGATCAGCCACCGTGCACAATGATTTATAGATAAGTCTGCAACGGAGGAATGCAAAAAGAGTCCAGGGTAGTTCACGTCAAAGTGCAGGTGCCCTGGTTTAACTCCTCTCTCCTCTGAGACGACTCTTGGGAGGATGAAGGTCGAAGGGTGTTGACAGTTCAATTTTCAGATTTTCCAAAAGCAGAAAGATATATCTGCACGTGAAATAACGGAATATGTGCCGGTCTTGGTTTTGCATTTCAACAGCGAATGCCTTCATCAGGTTTCTGTTTCGTTAAGTCTTTTAAAGGATTTTCAGCAGTTTCACACGGCGGTTGCCTGCATTGATAAAGCAGACACAGGCCAATTCAACCACTTAGAGAGAGGCAGTGTGACATCGTTCTTCAAGTCATTTCAATCTATGATGGATGTACTTTTAGAAGGCGGAGAATTCAAAGTCTGAATAGAAAAGGAATCGCATGCTTTGAGTCATTTAGACGCAGCAGAGTGAAGTCTGCCTGAAACTCAAAACATGCAGCGGCACAGCTCTGCACCATCTGCTCCGAGCAGGACTGACTGAAAGCCTTGGACCCTCCTTTGTTACATGTTGATTCCATTAAGGAGATACGTCGCTCCGACTCCAACGCCCGCAGGTCTGGCAACGATAAACTATGTATGAAGCTCATGAAGACATATCTTTCTGAGATTAAGTCAATTACCCAGACTCTAATTACATTAGCTTTGTGCGTGCACGTGTGAGTATACGGTAGTGTGTCGTCATGCTGTATGTGTGTCAGCTGGGTGTGATGTCTGGCAGGTGGCGTTGTGGTTGACGCCGGCCCCTTTGTTGCAGTGTCACCTATCTCTTCTCTTTTACCTGTTCTGGTCGAGCACGGGCCTATTGTATGTCACCTGACAGGCAGGGGTGGCTACAGTGTACACCTGCTGACAGGCTGGACTGGTGGCAGCAGACGGGGGGGGGGGGTTTGTGATGCAAGTTGTGCATAGTTAATTCTTATTGTTCTATGAATAATCTCTAGCATGCTGGTTGGCTGAATGTTGCATCAGTCTAAATGTGCAACTGTTGTCGTCGATTTTGTGTGAAGTCAATACCGTTTTCTGACTTTGCGCGCAAAACTAAAAAGGACCCCTACCCCACTTGGAGCCACAGTGCTGTTTACACTATTAGTGCATAGTTAATGGTCTTGGGTTACACAGAAGATCAGTGATGTCACCGCGGCTCCAAACAGAATATGAGGTGGCGGGACAAACATTTGTCTAAATGTTCCATTCCTTATCTAGTTCTTGGCAGCATTTCCATCTGTGTGAAGATGATACAATGTCACAATGATCCAAACAAAATAAATTCCTGCCCACTGTCGCTGTTGAAATGAACATAAACACAGAACTCTCTCTTGATGTGTTAAACTCCCCGGTGTTGTCCAGCCACTGCCCTGAAAAAGTCCCTGCGACCTGCTTCACTTCAAAACACGCCATGATTCCTGACTTTCTGGCAGACGGGTAAACATCGGGGGTCTCTCCAGTCGCAGAGGTGAGCATAAACAAAGGGAGAAGGGAAAACAGTCCGAGCTGGTCCGACTTTAATTCATTGTCGCCGGCTTGTTTTGACACCAGTGTATGTAAACCACAGCAGCAATAAAATACAAATTAAGATCTTCCTACTGATAACCTGCTCGTCTGAGAGCGTTATCAATGTGGGACTCTCCACTGGTGGCTCAGCCCACATGGATATCGCTTTACACGCTGTTTCTCAAGTGTAATTAGTCAGGAAAGGCCAAATTACTTGGCCCGCAGACCAACTGGGTTACAGTCTGAGCTGCCCTGGTTTAAAATGCAACCCGGAGTATGACCTATACGTGGTGTCAAGAGTCGACACATAGCTGTGAATGATGATAAGACAAAACAAATGTGAGATTTCACTTCTCCCTTGACATGTGAATGGTTGGGTGCATGTTTTTCTTAGAGGAGGTTTCCACAAGCCAATTACCAACCATTCAAATGACTGTCACAGTGACCTCACACCTCAAAAGATTTCTGTCAAAACACGCCGCTGAGCCTTACATTGATTCTCCATAGAGATCTCCTGCAGGTTGGGGTCTTTGCGCTGGAACGCTGGCTCTTCGTCCTCAACAGACAGGGACGTGGAATCACTGTAGCTGCTGGGGAAGTAAGTCCTCTTGGCGGGCTGAGTGTTTTGGTAGAGAGGCCGTGTAGCAGCAGAGCTCAGGAGCAACAAACACGTGGCCAAAACATCCCATAACTTCATCTTAGACTCAGTTCCTATGAAGAAAGCTGTGAAAAATAAATAAGAGAGGATGTTTTATTGGAAACAAGGTGATAAAACTAACTGATTAGAAACAAACAAAACATTAGAATAAAACAAATCCTAGCATGCTCTGGGTGGAGGCCAACTTTTGTTTGTAATGAAGTCATCAAAGTGATGTGGCCTAAGCTCCACTGACTCATTCTATATTAATAACTATGTGCCATCATGTCAGGAGACTTTGATCCACACTTTGTCTCATGGTGTTGCTGTAAGCATGAATATCAGAGTAAACCTACTATAAAAAATTTATCACAATGAAAAAATTAACTTAAATGTGCTTGATGAAGTCAAGATATCCGGAAAATATAGAGGCAGAAAATGGAGAGAATGATAAAACGAATGCGTAAAACTGTGCGTAAAAGTGCCGCATTGTTTTTAAAATTACAAAGATTTATGAATAACCAGCAGCTTGCTATTTACTTGTTTGTTTATTTATTTATTTGTCAGACTGGGATTATAAGATGATACATTCCTGCTGCTGTGATATCAGGAGGGTGCGCCTCACACACACACACACACACACAAAATGCGTTGGTTAAAGCACGCACCAAAAGATTGGCACCGATAGCCTAAATAATGGTGCGAGTTGGCCAGATGGCGATCCCCAAAGCTTACGTGACTCCGTCTAATGGCATGTTGAGTCTGCAGTAAACCTAAACAGCCATGCATGGA